TCTCTTCTTCTCCTGTTGACGCTCAGTCTTTTTCTCCTTAGAAGCAGAAGGACGGTAGCACTGATGTGCTATTGTATATGTTATCATATCTTCTATATTAATAATCTTCTATGTTCATATCAAGCCTCTTTTTTTTTTGTCTCTCATAGGAGTGCTACGGGTGAAGCGTGGCAAGAGATCATGTTGGCTTGCCTGGATAGGAAGGAGTGTGATCCTGAATCAGGGAATGATAAAAAAGAATGTGGCAGCACCTTCGCTTACACATACTTTGTCTCCTTTATCTTCTTGTGCTCTTTTCTGGTGAGAAAACCCACTGAATACACTTTACGCAGTTGATCAAAATATGGGTGATAGAGCAGGTCGCCAATCACAAGGTCGGTGGCTGCTTCAGTCAATGCGTCAAAGCATTCTTGGGCTAAATACTGAAACACTAAAAACTCCTATGCATCCATCAGTGTGAATGTTAGTTCAAAGTGCTTTGGTATAGATAAAAGCATTGTATGAATGTGTTTGATTAGGTGAAATTTGTACTAGAAAGTGCTTTAAGTAGGGCAAGAAGGCCACTATGTAAGCATTTCAGTCCATTCCACTCACCCGCCACTTTGTTAGGTACACCTATTCAACTGCTTGATAAAGCAAATATCTAATCAACTAATCAAATCACAGAGATTGAATGCATTCAGACGTGATCAAGAAAATCTGCTTAATGTGTCAGACGTGTGACACTTTGTTTTTGCCAGATTGGGTGGACGGGGTATTTCAGCCGTGAAATTCATTTCACCGTGATTTCCCCATACAGCCATCTCTAAGATATATAGAGAATGGTCAGAAAATGAGAAAATATTCAGTGCGTTGCAGTTCTCTGGGTACAAATGCCTTGCTGATGTCAGACATCAGAGGAGAATCACCAGACAGCTTCGATCTGATTGGAAGGCAAGAGTAACTCAAATAACCAGTCATTACAACCATGGTGTGTATGAGTATCTGTGAGTGTACAATACTTCAAATCTTTGAAGCAGAAGGCCACAACAAGTAGCACTCCTGTCAACAGGAAACAGGAAGCTGAGGCTATAACAGGCTCAACAGAAGTGAATAAAATGTTGCCTGGACTGTTGATTTCTGCTGTAACAATAAAATGGAACATGAAAGCATGGGTCCATCCTGCCTCGTATCACCAACCACTTTGCTGCTTCCAGCAGTATAACATGCTCAGATCATCTCAAACTGGTTTCTTGAAATAAAATCAGTACATAAATGGCCTCCGCATTCCTCAAGCATACGCTAGAATTAGAGATTTGTTTAATGAATGTGCAGCTGATAGATCTGCAGCACCTGTGTGATGCTCTCGTGTCAATATGGACCAAAATCTCTGAAGAATATTTCCAGCACCTTGTTGAATCTGTGCCAGATCTGAAGGCAAAACATGGGTCCAGCCCAGGGCTAACATGTACCTAATAAAGTGGCCAGTGAGGGTATGTTATTGTTTGAAGAAATGTTTTACATCACTGTGTTTGCGACATACTTGTTCCAGATGCTGAATCTGTTTGTGGCTGTCATCATGGACAATTTTGAGTACCTGACTAGAGACTCTTCCATCCTGGGGCCTCATCACCTGGATGAGTATGTAAGGATATGGGCCGAGTACGACCCTGCCGCCTGGTGAGTGACACACAGGTGGACTCAAATCCACACAAAAATACAACTAAAACACACACTGCACACTGTTGGAAAGTCCTCTGATAAAAGACATTAAAGATCATGGCAGCTAGATTTTACAGCGATATACTGTTATTTTACCGTGTACCTACACTAACCTCCAAAAATGGCATCTTAGTGTAAAAAAA